TTTTTTTTTTTTCACTTTTATCCTCAGAAACACCTAGATCATGTTAAAGGCTTAAAGTCGTTTAAACTTCCCTTTGTTCCATCTTTTTACTTGAGAATTTTGAAAAACTTTTCAATACATAATCAACAAAGATAAACAAACAAAAAAAAAAAGTAATTCAGCATTGAAACCAATAAAAGATTGAAAATCTAGAATGAAAATTTTGGCTGATTTGAAGTGTGAGTGGATTGGAATGAAAATGACTTGCAAATGGATTTCTTCCACCAACAAAAGAGCAAATGGAAGACAAATCGACAAAAGTGATAAGAGAAACCATGCGTAGTACCAAATAAGCACTAAAAGGGCAAGATAGTATTTATATGTTATTTAACATTGAAATTAAGAATAATTAATTATTTTCATAATCCTAGTGTGGTAGACTAAAACAACTAATAGTAGTGGGACAAAGGGAGTATTATAAATGAATAAGAAAATGATTGGTATATATTCGATTTGATACATTTTTTGATAAATTTTTTGTTTAATTATTAAAAATATAATATAAATATAATCAATTCAACTGATTTTTATATTTTTTATGCATGATTGTATCTTTAAAATTATCATTTTTATTTTTAAAATAAAAAATAATTATTTTTTAATGAATATATTATATAATATATTAAATCAAATATATACTAATTAATGTCTAAATGAATATGATATAAATTTTGTATGAAAATAAATTCAAATACTATATTCAATGAGACTTAAGGTGTTAAAAAAAATCCCAAGTACTAAATACAGGAAGTTATTGTAATTAATAAGTAAACCATATTGTTAGAATAACGAGGAGATTATATCTCAGTTCTTTCCTTAACGAGCAGAGCGAGATTAATTGAGATTGAGATCGAGATCGAGAGAGTAATCTTATTTGGAACTGGATCACCATGCGCCTGCCAGTCACGGAGCTCCACAACACCATTTTTCGTTTGATATTTAGCTAATTAGCAGAAATTAAAATATTAATTAACATGAACTTATTTAGAGTTAAAATAACAAAAACAAAAAGTTACATGACGGGTGGGACCTTCTGGATGCCACACCTATCTTTTCAATAATCATAACCTTTTTTTTTTTTTTGACAGTGGGAATTAATTAATGACTGTGTTAATATCTGTTAATAGGGAAGTTCGAACAATTAAAGAGAATGCAAACCACTTACTGCCCAAGGGCAACGTGGCTACTTGGACCACATGGGTCTGCTTCAATAATCATAATGTTTATTAAACCAGTGTATGCATAGTGTGTTATAGATTTAACTGTAAAATATATTTTTATTGTGCAAAATCAAAAATTAGTTTTTTAGGTAATTTTAGAAAAAATATGGGGATGAAAACAGAAA